GTGTGTGTGTGTGTGTGTGTGTGTGTGTGTGTGTGGAGAGAGGGAGAGAGAGAGCAACGCAGCAGTCAGCTCTCCCCACCCAAGGCTGAAGGTCAACAGATGATCATGCTAAGCTTGCTAACTGTTCCACCCTCTGACTGCTGCAGGGGCGTGTCTTAGAGAGAGGCTTTTATATCAGAACACAGCCGCTGTGACGAAACCGTGGAGAAGCACGTCACAGCGGAGAGCCGTTAACCAATATGCAAATTAGCCTGCAGTACCACTGCTCTACCCATATGAGCAGCAAAAAGATGTTTTTACACCAAATGTTACAGATTTGGACAAATACGCACAAAAACATCAAAATTTGCAAGAAACAGTACTATATAACATTTTAGACACATTCTAGACAGTTTATCAGCTAAAAAAAGTTAATTTTGGGGTAAGTTACTCTTTAAACACAGCTGTTCTTTCTCCCCTCATATTCCGACACAGGATAGAAACAGCTAAATTAGACAGTTAAAACACATTTACAGTTCATAACTCACCCTTGTTGTTGTAACATTCATCATGTGTTGTCCGCAAGCACTTTCCGCCCTGTTGTGAGTACATTTCCTTGAAAAATAAAACTTAACCAGGCACTTTGGAGAAGCTCTGACGCTGGTAGTCTATGTAGATAATGATGTGGGTTTACACACCCCAGAACCGAACATTTTGACTTCTGAACTTGCATAGTCGGCATGACGCTATGAACTACAAAATCACACAGCGAGGAAAAAAAATGGCGGACTATGAAATCCAGTTGGCAGGAAATACATTACCATAAATGGTAGTTCCGAAGAAAATAGTGTGACGAAATAAACAATGAAACGAAATAAGCAACAGCAGATTTTGAACAAACTGAAAAATTTGACCCATAAAAAAATATAAAAAATATCTTTGCAGTAACAGGACAGAATAAATTAAAGTTTTCTACACTACTAGATACTATAATTGCACAAAAAATTGTTTATAAATGCAAAAAAAGTGCATTTAGCATGATATGTCTCCTTTAATGATTCAGGGTTTATGAACACTTAGATGTCGGCATGATGGTTAGACATTTAAATAAAACTGCACATTGACGACCATGCCTAGAAAAGCAGTGAAGTTAGACCTAACACAGACTGTATGAAAGATCTGCTCATTAACAAGCCAGTATTGTGCCAAAATTGAATTCCCCTCTTAGTCAGATACTAAGTTCGAGCTTATTTATCACAGTAAATCAGCACACACAAATTCATTCTGCTGTGCATTCAATTTATAAAGATTTAGCATATTTATATTAGGAGTCATAATACAGTATAGTGGATTAAAAAATTGTTATAATCTTGTACTTTACTTGCTGAGGACACACATTTAACTTTTTTGTCATATCAAGCGTATAGTGAAAAGTCACTTTTAATATAAGTACAAATAACAAATTCTTGAAGTTTAATATAAAAATAACCTTAGTGGCTGTGGGATCTTTGGTGCAAACACACTTTATTATACAGTAAAATAAATTCAATGTGATGTCAGCTTTGCAGTCCCACTTATTCATGGTTTCAGTAATGCTGACATGTGAGCTACATTTTTTTAAACAAAGCCCTCTGACTGTCACATCACAGATATGTTTGAAATCTTAGCTGTGCATACATTAAGAAGCATTCAGTTGTTTTAAAGCTCTGCAGTGCCATCTTGTAAGATAAAAATTCTCACCCATCATTAATCAGAATTAATTTGTGTAAAATTGTTCTTTTATGTTTTTTGAGCTCCACTGATTTCATGTGTCAGAGTGAAAACAGATTGACGATTAAAAAAGTTTTAATAGGAGCTATTAAAATCTTACCGGGTTGTTGTGTTTCCATATCAGCATCAGGGTCTCAGTAAGAAATATAGTGAGCATCATTTTCCTTCAAATGTTTTGTTTTTTTGTTTGTTTTAACTCCTTTATTCTCTGTTMAATTCTGTGCACACAGTCAATGCTAATATCTGTTACTGTTAGCACCGGCAACACCTTTAGTTCTATCTCTGCATTTTTCAACATGTACAAAAAATATGTGTATAGAAAGAAATAAAAATCCATCATTTTAGTTTTTAGATGTGGAAAAACAGACTAGTGTTTCCCTGTGTATCTCTGCCCTGCTGTCTATCATTCCTCATGCCCTGCCTCACCTGTTTCCTCTTGTGTCTCCTCCAGGTATTTCTAGTTGTTTCATTTGGTTCTCCTCTTATATTCTGTGTACTGTCCTCTGTGTTGCGTCCGTTCATTGTGCTCTTCTCCCAGCCTGTGGTGTTTTCTCCTTTGTGTCCTCGTGAGATATCAATGAGTTTTTGAGCTGCTTTGTCAGCCTTCCTTGGTTTATTAAAGCCCTTTTGAACTTTGGATTTTTGCTTGTACCCTGGGTCATGCTGCTGCCTGCCAAAATCTCACAATATTACTTATCACTTAACCCTGATAACTTTGCTGCTGCCATCTGAATATATATA